GGCATGCTCATCCTAAAAGCAAAACTTCAAAGAATTTTAGCAGTGTGCAATATTCATAACCTGTAGGGATAAAAATCATTTCAATTAAATATCTTCTAATGATAGAAAAGCATAATTCTGATAGGGCAACTAAATGAATATCAAATGACTCAAAAATATCCTGCTGAGACCTAAAGAGATTGAGAAAATAGACAAATCTTTGAAGTAAAGAACAGAAGAATCATGCATATTAGATTTCACAAACAAAGACAAGAACGGTAACAATTTAAAGTCCTCTGGATCTGTTTGTTTTTCCTAAACTCTAAAAAATTATTCTTATTAAAAGTTACATTTTAAAAATGTTAAGCTCTTGAAACAAAGTCTGAAATTTTAAATGTGAGGCAGAGTTATAGGAATAAAACAGTCTTCTTTTGATTGTTTTCTCCAATTCTTGTCTCTAGAGCAAGATTTTGAATAAAGTGGATTTTTTTTTTCTTTTTGCAGGACTGACAGGGAATGTGAATACATTTTTCTCACCTCCTCCGCAAGATCACAATGGAAAACTGGAAAGAGAAATAGCAGCCATGGCGTTGCTGAGACAAGTTGCAGCCAGATGTGTTTCAAACTTGTTGGAAAACTCTTTTTCACTCCTGAAATCAAGACTGTGAAACAAAGCACCAGGTACAAGGAGCAAATGTTATTTAAAATAACATATATAAATGCATGTCAAGAAACTAAAAAAGATGGAATAGTACATTTTTATTACCACTGTTTCAGTGGAAAATTTCGTTCTATTTTATTGCACCACTCAAGCTTTTAGTTTGGCTGCATTTGGTGCCATTCCAGAGTTTGTAGTGATCTGTTTACCAACTAAAGAGGACTGGTGACAAAATGGGTGCTTACATTGCTCTAAATTTTGAGAACTCCATCACAAAATGTTTATGCTATTATACACTTGCTGATAAAGACTGCATGAGGAAATTAAACCAAACTTTACTTTAAGTGTAATTACTCTAAAATACATTTTTCATGCAGAGCTACTATAAAGTGGACCTATGGGGTGCTGGTTAAAAATAACTTTTGTGTTAACATTTTATGTTAAGAAAAAATACTTTGATGAATAATTATTTCATTCTGTATTATATGTCTCTATAAGATATCACATTAGGGTTGAGTGTTGGCCTTTGCAACTGAAATGTATTTTGGTTATAAAAGCCTCTACTTCAGAGATACGCCTCTGTAGTGATTCATCTTGTATGCGTCTGCTTCAGCAGCAGCTGCTTCAGACAGGAGAGAGTTCAAGTGCATTTCAAAATAAAATCAACCCAAAATGTTACCCTAACGTGTCAAATTTGACAAAATGGCAAAATAGGAACACAAGGAAACAGAGCTGCTATTGTGGGATGAAAAAATATTTCTTTACAAACAAACAATGAGCTTTTAGCTGGAAATATAAACCATACAGTATGTGTTTTATTTGTGCTGGCCCTATGGAGTTTTCCTGCTATCTCCAGGAATAGTGAATGTATCGGAATATCTTCTCCTGTGAGGTTCTGATTCAAAAGCCAAAGACTAAGCTGGGCCTGCTTCAGGCAGCATCAGTTTGAGTGACAGTTTGAGCTTGGATTAGAACATTTATTTTCACTGACCACTTTGATAGCATTTTAAAACATTTGTCTGGGCTTGGCCTTAAACTCTTGCAATGGGATGAGCTACTCTTTGAAAAGAATGTGCGTATACTTTGTTAAATAACCAGATTACAAAAATGTTTCCCTTTTTTTCAGAGATGATAATCATCTCATAAAAATATACATTTTTTTAAACGATTAATGACAGTGTTATGTCTTCTTTCACAATAAGCTAAAGCTATATAAGATGATCTGGTACTTGTGCATATCTTTTTTTATTTTTCTTATTCAAAAGCTTTTGTTTTTTTGTCTAGCTATCATACCGCATTTTTATTCAATTTCAAAACGTCTTTTATAAATACACCTGTTTTTATTAATAATCCAATTCAATATTACACACACACACACACACACACACACACACACACACACATATATATATATATATATATATATATATATATATATATATATATATATATATATATATATATATATATAT